GGAGTAGAAAGGCTGAAAAGACTTCATGTCAAAAGTTGCAAGAATGAGGTTATATTTCAGTCGTTCGTCTAGTAGAAAGTTCGTTAGTAGAAATTTAACTCCTCTTCTGCCTTTATACTTCTGACAAGTGAAACCGTTTTGAAAAAATCGCTAGGCTGCTTGGAAACCCTTAAAGGTTAACGGTTTATAAAGAGGAGCAGTCGGTAGGATGAAAAAAATTTTTATTGTAGGGGCGTGTGGGTGAAAAAAACAGACTTCAAATTCTTCTATGAAATTTGGAAATATCGAACTAGAGCGAGAATTTACGTGGAAAGTTATTATATATGTATAATGTTAATTAACATTGAGTTGTATCTTTTTTGGTGACAATTGCTTAGGTAGGAGAGATTCGTGCTTTAAACGCATAAACCTTCATAGACATCAAAATTTAGTTCTAGTTAATTTATAGATAGGCTCTGTCAGGAAAATTTGCTGTGAAGTTGAAGAAACTCCCGCAGATGCTTTGCTGGGTTTTTTAAAGCACGTTAAGTTCAGCACACGAAAATTTCTGAGCACTTCCCACTAGCGAGCGGTTTATTAGCAACAGGGCAGAGATTTTTTTGGCTGATTTATAGAGTGAAAGCATTAACCGCTCCATTGCTAACAATCGCACGCATGGAGAAACTGAAACTGTCCGAAAAGTTCCTGTAATAAAACACTGCATGTTAGTTAACATCTTATTTGATATCAATTTTATAGTTAACCTTCCAATAAAGCTATTAGATGGAGAAGAGTCATTACATTTCATTTTTTCTTAACAGCAGACTCTATTATTGCTGTCCTTTCCGAGAAATGATTAGCTAAGATTTCGCAGTGATTGTTTGTAGAGGCCTTTAGCAGACCTATTTCCCTACTCATCGGAGAAGAAAAACAAATCGCGAATCCAAAGAAACTCCGCCCTTCCTCGTTATTACGAATACTCTCAGATGTGATCAAATAAAACTGAATTTATCTTTATCATTCATTCTTATTCATCATTTTCTCTTTGTTAGTTAGCAAGAGAGTTAAGTCATGTATTTTTCTGTGGAATGATTTATGAACGTCACTAGCCGCAAGTGGAATGGCCACAGCCGTGTTGCGATGGCCGTCGGAGAGGTGTTTGAGTGTGAATTCAAGAGGAATTCACAGTCATTCACTTTTTCGCCTAGTGACCGACTCCAGCATACACACGACGACAACGACGACGAGGCGGATATCTGTCCGTTTCTCCTCCGACGCGTCCGCTAACGCACAATCGCGTTTTCTCCTTCGTACCGGCTGAGAGTTTCAGTTTTCCATCGTTCTCGAGTACGTTGCGACAATCATAACAAGTGCAGTTGCAGTCGCGCGCAATTTCCCACATTACTTGATCAAACAACAGCTAGAAATCCCTTGTATTTCATAAGAAGGCGACGTAAAACGCCTAATTCTTTTGGGCACTCCTTCATAACTTAGAGCAACGAGATTATTTTGAAAATTTCCCAAAAAAAGTATTTGGAACTTCTCTTTGGCTTTTCAAACACATCTTTTTTTCTTACCAAATAAGTGCACATAAGGTAAGTAGAATATGATCCTAGTATATCAAATCTAGGGAGTAGAACCAGATTTTCTCTGCAGTTTTAAATTATCTTACTCTAGCTGTTGATGGTTCACGTGTCATGGTCTTAGCATTTGGATTTGAAGAGCTAGCTTGGCTCTATCCTGGTTTTCTCAATTTCTCCACTCTTGCTTGATAAAACTGAAGATCTAATGCAATCGACGTTTTTCGTGTAGAGTTAACTATGGTGGTAGTATGCAAGTAACTGCTAAAGCTTAAATCTTGCTATTGATTGAACTGTCAAAAAACATGTCACCTAAAGGGTTGGAAAAAGGTAGGGGTATAAACTGAATTTGGCTTTTTGACTTCTATATTAGTCCCACACCTCTCCAGAGTTTGAAACGGCCTTCACTTAGGTGAGTGTAATCAACTCGATTCAAGCTACAACTTCATATTATTTGAATAATTTTATCGCTCCCTGGTTCCCAAAAAAAAAACACTTAGATCATTTACAAGGGCGTGATAGCTTATTGACAAAATATATTTAACAGAAATCAATAGTTTATTTTATTATTTGTTTTTAACGTCCGGCGAAAAATTTTCTTTCCGAAACAACTTTAAAAAACTTCTATCGATCTGTAGGCTGCAATTTTTAATAATGTTTTTTTTTCGTTTACACCACCACTTTTTGGATCTCAAACAATCAAACATAGAAAATAGGCTCTTGCAATATCGACAACACTATAAAGATGTCTATATTACTTCCCTATATTTTACTCAAACAAGCAATCCGGCTTTGTCGACGATGGGCTTTCACTCCACGGTGGGTCGTCAGATCAAGCAAGGTTTGATGAGACGGGAACGGGTTCATTCGGGCTT